TAGTTCTGTTAGTATTTGTTTCACATATGCTGGTGCTCCTGTGTTGGGTGCATATATATTTAGAATGGTTATATCCTCTTGTTGGACTGAGCCCTTTATCATTATGTAGTGTCCTTCTTTATCTCTTGTTACTTTCTTTGTTTTGAAGTCTATTTTGTCTGATATTAGTACTGCAACCCCTGTGTTCTTCTCGCTGTTGTTTGCCTGAAATATGTTTTTCCATCCCTTGACTTTTAGTCTGTGTACGTCTTTGGGTATCAGGTGAGTTTCTTGTAAGCAGCGTATAGATGGGTCTTGCTTTTTTATCCATTCTATTACTCTGTGTCTTTTGATTTGGTGCATTAAGTCCATTTACATTTAGGGTGACTATTGAGAGATATGTACTTATTGCCATTGCAGGCTTTAAATTCATGGTTACCAAAGATTCAAGGTTAGCCTTTTTAGTATCTTACTGCCTACCTTAGCTCGCTTATTGAGCTGTTATATACACTGACTGGAGATTCTTTTCTTCTCTCCTTTCTTATTCCTCCTCCTCCTTTCTTCACGTGTTGGGTGTTTTGTTCTGTGCTCTTTTTAGGAGTGCTCCCATCTAGAGAAGTCTCTGTAAGATGCCCTGTAGAGGTTGTTTGTGGTAAGCAAATTCCCTCAGCTTTTGCTTGTCTGGGAATTGTTTAATCCTGCCATCATATTTAAATGATAGTCGTGCTGGATACAGTACCCTTGGTTCAAGGCCCTTTTGTTTCATTGTATTAAATATATCATGCCCTTCTCTTCTGGCCTGTAGGGTTTCTTTTGAGAAGTCTGATGATAGCCTGATGGGTTTTCCTTTATATGTGACCTTTTTCTCTCTAGCTGCCTTTAAACCTCTTTCCTTGTCCTTGATCTTTTCATTTTAATTATTATGTGTCTTGGTGTTGTCCTCCTTGGATCCTTTCTGTTGGGGGTTCTGTATATTTCTGTGGTCTGTTTGATTATTTTCTCCCCCAGTTTGGGGAAGTTTTCAGCAATTATTTCTTCAAAGACACTTTCTATCCCTTTTCCTCTCTCTTCTTCTTCTGGTACCCCTATAATACAGATATTGTTCCTTTTGGATTGGTCACACAGTTCTCTTAATATTCTTTTATTCCTGGAGATCCTTTTATCTCTCTCTATGTCAGCTTCTATACGTTCCTGTTCTCTGGTTTCTATTCCTTCAGTGGCCTCTTGTATCTTATCCATTCTGCTTATAAATCCTTCCAGAGTTTTTTCACTTCTGTAGTCTCCTTCCTGGCATCTGTGTTCTCCCTCCGGACTTCATCCCATTGCTCTTGCATTTTTCTCTGCATCTCCGTCAGCATGTTTACGATTTTTGTTTTGAATTCTTTTTCAGGAAGACTGGTTAGGTCTGTCTCCTTCTCTGTGTTGCCTCTGTGATCTTGGTTTGCCTGTAATTTTGCCTTTTCATGGTGATAGAAATAGTTTGCAGAGCTGGAACGAGTGACGGCTGGAAGAACTTCCCTTCTTTTTGGTTTGTGTCCTTCCTCTCCTGGGAGAACAGCGATCTCTAGTGGCTTTTGCTGGGAAGCTGCGCTCAGACAGGGCTTCTGCTTCCTGCCCGGCTGCAATGGAGTTTATCTCCGCTGTTGCTCTGGGCGTGGCCTGGCTCGGGCTGCTTCTCCAAAATGGTGGAGCCCCATTGGAGGGGGAGCAGCCGGGAGGCTATTTATCTCCATTAGGGGCCTCCATGCTCCCTGCTGCCAAGGAGGTTAGAGTGCCCAGAGATCTCCAGATTCCCTACCTCTGGAGTAAGTGTCCCGCCCTGCCCCTTTAAGATGTCCAAAAAGCACTCGCCAAAACAAAACAACAATAAAAAAAAATTAAATAATAATTTTAAAAAAACACTCGCTTTTCTTTGTCCTCAGGTGCCGGCCTCAGGCACCCGCTCTCCAGTCTTGCTGCCCTGTTTCCCTAGTATTGGGGTCCCGGTCCCTTTAAAACTTCCAAACAGCACTCACCAAAACAAAACAACAACAACAACAAAAATGGCCGCTTGCATTTCTTTATTCTCTGCCGCCGGCCTCAGGCACCTGCTTACCGGTCTTGCTGCCCTGTTTCCCTAGTATCCAGGACCCCACGCATGCACTGTGTCTGCGCTCTGGTCCAGATGGCTGGGGCTGGGTGTTCAGCAGTCCTGGGCTCCCTCTCCCTCCCTGCTCTGACTCCTCTCCTCCCGCCAGGAGCTGGGCGGAGGGGTGCTCGGTTCCCACCGGGCCAGGGCTTGTATCTTACCCCCTTCTGTAGGCACTGGGTTCTAGCAGGTGTGGATGTGGTCTGGATGTTGTCCTGTGTCCTCTGGTCTCTATTCTAGGAAGAGTTGTCTTTGTTATATTTTCATAGATATATGTGGTTTGGGGAGGAGATTTCCGCTGCTCTACTCACGCCGCCATCTTGGCTCTGCCCCCCATCCTTAGTTATTTAAAAAAATAGTCAAAAGAATATTCACTAGATGTCACTCTTTAATTTAATCATGGCCTTTTATTAAAGTTTTCTCTAATTTCTATTTATTGCTTTTCTAAAATGGTGACTTCCTTTTAGTCTGTAAGTTGATTGCTGAATCTCTAAGAAGTCATCCTTTTGTTTTGTTTAATGATTTTAATTTTATTTTCTGTTTAGTTCTACTTGTCATCTACTTTTATGCGATCATACTTTATTGTCTGTTCTTTGCATAACCTGTTTTTGATTTGCGAACAATCCAATTTTATATTTTCTTTCTTTTCTGTGATTAGAACTTCAGCATTATTAGTTTTACTAGTCTTTGTCCTTAAATTTTTAGCAAACTAGCATATTTTCTTACCAATGTCAAAAATTAGTATTTTTCTCCTTCCCTTTCGTGAAAAATTTCAAGACATTTAGCAAACTACTGTTTACTTTCTGTCTCCCCTCATTCTCACTCCCCAAACTGATGGAATCACCTGGAACTTTAATTTCAGAATGCTATTAATTTTTTTTCAAATTATGCTTATTTGAATTTCAAATTGCTTTACATTTCACATCCACATTATCAGCAATTATTTCCTTTTTTAAAAAAAGCCTCATAAAGTAAACAACAATGTCTGGCAATTCCGACTCAGAAAAAGGAGCGAGAATACAAGTAAACATTAGAGAAAAGAAAGGAATGCAAAACCAGTCACACAGAAGGTTAACACATGTAGAAGAATACTATGAACTACTTTTAGCTAGTAAATTTGGAAATCTAGAGGAAATTGACAATTATCTAAGCAACTGTACATTTTCAACAAAAATGTAATTATGAAAATTGATAGAAAACCAAAATAAACGAATGACTGTTTAAGAAATGACTGATTTTGAAGCATTTTGTCCAGTCTTCAAGACACAGATAATCCCTGAGTTATACAGATTGTTACAGAGCAAAAAAAAATGATGGAAATCTTTCCATTCACTTTATGAGGCTAATCTAACTTGATTTCAAGATGAGGTCAGTACACACACATAAACAAAAAGAGCTGTATCCCATCTCATGAATCTACATAAAAAATTCTAAACAAAACATTAACAAATTTAATCCAATAGTGTTTTTAAACAATGTACCTCAAAGTCTATTGCAAGCATGTAAGAGTGGGTCAAACTGAGGCATTCAATTAGTGTATTTGCTTTTCATAATTGTCATTAATTTATTAGGAATTGTATTTGGGTATTTAAAAAGAAGTAATGTATTATTTTTTAAAAAGTTTATACCAAGAGTAGGTCTGCCTTCTATTGATGATTCCTGGTTTAATCTTTCTTTATTAAAAATTGTGCTTTTTTTACTTCTTAAATAGGCTTTAAAATTCTTAGCTCCTGAGGTAATCACTTAATCTCATACTTTTCTTGGCAATATGTTACCAATTTTGAGAAACTATTATGCTTTGTAAGGAGTATAAAATTTTGAAATAATTTTCCTTCATGCTTAAACAGTTAAAAACTCATGAATTTTTGATATGCCATTAAATGTGAGTTTCTTAGTAGAAGCTAAATTAGAGGCAGCTGTGGGGTATGAAAACAATAAGAAGGTACAGTTATTCTCTCTCTTAAGCTTTTCTTTGACTGTCATGAAATAAATGTTTTTTAGCATGTACAGATGCTAATGTTAATATATGAAAGTTAAGAAGTATAATTGAAAGAGGGTTATGTTGTGATTTATTCAAATGTATGATTGACTGATTCACCACATCCTTAAGAAAGCATTGTTTGCAGGGGTCCTGCCAGAGCAAGAACCATGGCTTATTTTGGGGAAGGAAAAGGACCCATCCATGTGGATAATGTGAAGTGCACAGGAAATGAGAGGTCCCTGGCTGACTGTATCAAAAAGGATATTGGAAGACACAACTGCCGCCACAGTGAAGATGCAGGAGTTATTTGTGATTATTTTGGTAAGAAAACATCAGGTAACAGTAATAAAGGTAAGTCACTTCTGAGGACTACACAAGTCAAAGAATACTAACCCCAGTTCATTAGTATAAGTAGTACCAGGATAACAAAAATGCCCTTCTGAAAGAATATATACCACCCCTTGTTCCTTCTTGACAAACTTGACTAGGGGGTGCTTATAGGGAGAGTAGGGTTTGCAGAGGGCAGAAGTGGACTTCCAGTATTTTGTAATATCTGGATCATCCCCTCTTGACATACTCAGCCATTTCTCTAAGTCTTTCTTGGGATGTAATAAAACCATCAGACTTTCTGGTATCCTTAAAGATTCAGAATTGGTGTTTACTTCATAAAAAAGAAAGAGAAATGAAAATGTAAATATGAATCATAAGTGTTTCTACCCTTACTAATATTGTAAATAACAGAGCTAACTTTTAAAATTACTTGCAAATCTTTTACAGATTTTATTTTCTGAAATTTAAAAATGTAAGAAAAGTGAAAAGTAATTTTTAATATAATAGTTACAGATGTTTCATATTTAAATAAGTGTAAGAGTTCTTGAAAGCTCTGAATTTAATTTTGTCAAAAAATACTGCTTTAACTGAATAAGGAAAAGAATTAGCTATTTTGGAGAAAAACATGGTTACTCTTATGAAAAGAACAATCACCTCTTTTTTCCACAGTTTTAACACATTGGATTTTCTTAAAACCAGGTGCATCTATGTTTCAGTATTCTCTTTTTCTAACATCTTTTAATAACTGGTAAAGACAGTGCAGTAAATAAATTGGATGCTGTCGATATGATTCTTCAGTATCTGAGGGGCTTTTGAATGTGGAGAAGAATACATATAACCTTTTGTGCTTTGTTTTATATTACCTATGATTTGGTAAGCCAGTTTTTCCTCAGTATTGATTAACATATGAATATTAAATTCTCTTAAATAATTTAAACTACAGTTACAAATTGAATATAACTAATTCCTTGTATTCTGCTGAATTTTTCAAGTGGTAGAAAAACATAAAAATTTAATAATTATAAAAGGTCTTATTATGTTTCAATGTAAACCTATTTTAAAATATGAAGTACCATGTTTATTTCTTCTTCATTTATACATTTGTTTTTATGCCATCCTAGAGTTGTAGCAAGGCTTACTTTGATACCTTTCCATGGTTTCAATGCTACCATACCTTAAGAAGATTTCATGTTAGACCAGCTTGATTACTAAATTTGGCTTAATAGCCTGTTGGTTTTGTGTTGAGGCTCAAGACCTAGTGATTTCTATAAGGTGATTCAAACTCAAGCCATTAGTTATTGTTCATATGATGGGATCCTTTAATAAATGAACTTCATTTTGCTTTCTTTTCTATTAGTGTATTTTATAGCTTTAAATAGATTTTACTTTATTGTAATCCAGTGCTTTGCCCCAAAGAATGATGTAAACTTTCAGTTTTGCTGGCTCAGTATTACATCATTGCTTGTCTTGGCATTATATATATTAACTCTTTGCCTATACATTACATAGTCCTTAGTTATTTAAAAAAATAGAAAAATTATATTTTTCTGAAATCTTATAATTTGCAGTGTCATCTAGAGAATTCATATCCTAAGAAATGAGGATTAAAGTTTCACAGCATGCTTCTGAGATCATTTAGCAAATGAATGATTTTGGTGCACATTGTTAAACATCTTTCTCTTAAGAAATAACTGGTTTGATTCTCCACTGAGCTCCCTTCCACCTGGTTATTATGGGAGACCATTAGTGTGACCAGACTTTCATGGTCATGACACAATTTCCACATTTTTTTAGTAGTATTTACACTTTATACACATGTATATACTTACATGCATATATGTGCATATAGATACAATATATATATATTATATATATATATACACACTTATATACATACTTACACTTAACCAAGAAATAATAACACCTTCTATAGATTCTCTGACTTCCTAAATTATTTTAAAAACTAGCCATACCTTATATTACTTATTCTTCCTTTTCACATATTTTAAATTTAATTCTTTTTTTTAATGGTTTTGACAGAGGTTTGTTATCTTGGGAAGCTTGACTACATGCCCTTAAATATAATTTGCTTCTTAAATTGACTTATCAAATCCTTTACACATATAAATATGCTATATGAGCAAATGTAAATTTAGACCAAAATACCATTCTGGTAATGTGCTTTGCTCTTCTTAGTTACATTTGTGCTTTTGGCTTAGAAGAGTGCTGTACGTAGAAAGAAAGTGATTAGACTATTATTGCCTTTGTAGGTCTCTTGTTTAATGTTCCTGAACTCCAGAACAATCTCCATAATCAGGAGAGTTGGAGATGTAGGTGTAACTACAAGGATAATGTACTGGACAGGGTATCAACATTCAGCAGCCTGTGGAACCTCTTCAGAGCTGAATGTGGGAAACCTCTTAAAGTTCCTCCTGTGCTTGCAAATTATTGTTGCCTTGTTTAAATGAGAAGCAACTTTTGTTTATTACTAGAAGAAAAAGTATTCTGTAATTTGAGGAGAAGAGGTATTTTAAAATAGAAGAGGAAGCAGCAGGGGCATGTGTCACTGTGTCTTTATCCCCCTATCAGCAACATGGTGGTTTACTTAATAACCTGTTTCTGTTTCAGAGTCCCTCTCATCCGTTTGTGGTTTGAGATTACTGCACCGTCGGCAGAAGCGGATCATTGGTGGGAAAAATTCTTTGAGGTAAAAGGTTCTTCAGAAGAGATTTTCCATATTGCAGAATTATTTGTATACATAATATTACAAATTGGGAATTGTCTACTATTTTATAAGGGATTTTTTAAACTTATTTTTCTAAATTAAATTCAGATTACTCTAATTTCACTGTCCTCTGACCATGTTTAACCTTATTTTTCTAAATTAAATTCAGATTACTCTAATTTCACTGTCCTCTGACCATGTATAAGAACATGGACCATGTTCTTATATCACTATCTCCTGCTTTATGAAATAGATGTGTTGCTGAGAACTTATGTGGTAGAAAGAAACTTGTTCAAAAGATCTGAAAAAATGTCTACACAGTTCATTAGACTTAGAATATATTTGTTTTAGACTTGCTTTAATATACTTTTTTGTTGAATTTTCTGATGGAAAACTAGCATTTTGCATATTAAATACTTTTTAAATCTGCTTAGGTAGAGTAGTGAGGAGAGGAAATATACTTCAAATCATGAAATATAAAGAAGACCCAGCTTGTTTCCAAGAATGTCACAGATACGCAGATGCATACAAATGCCTATAAGCAAATCTTAAGGTGGTCTGCTCCAAGTTGTAGGGGCATCATTCTCAAAGTAAGAAGGGGTCTTACATCCTAGAATCCCTTTTATATTCCTTTCCTCTTATGTGCAAGCCTTCCAAGTCATTGTTTAATGTCTTAGATGCTTTACTGTGCTTTTCTGCCTTTTATGGGTATTGATGGGTGGTTCACTTTCTTTTCAGGGGTGGCTGGCCTTGGCAAGTGTCCCTTCGACTGAAGTCACGCCATGGAGATGGCAGGCTCCTCTGTGGGGCCACACTCCTGAGCAGCTGCTGGGTCCTTACAGCAGCACACTGCTTCAAGAGGTGTGTGTCCACCTTAACAAACAACTAAGTTTGACTCTTATTTGACGTCTTCCAATCCCTTCCTGCCCTACAACATACTAGAAACTTGAAGTGGCAGAGGCAGGCTAAAGACCTCCACATCCAGTCCAGTGGCACCATCTTGGTATTGAGGGAGGTAATATAAGGAGAAAAGAGTGCCCTCAGGGAGCTCCTGGCTACCTGGTATTAAAGCAAACTCTAGATTTAGGGAGAAGAGAGGATGGGTTTTTGGAAGGAAAGCAGCTATATGTTACTGCTTCCCCCACAAGAACGTGTCTGAAGGTGAAATCATATCCCTGTAGAGCTAGAGGAGACCTCAGATTATCTAGAAATGAATGCTAAGGAATAGGGAGTTTTGGTTTTTTTGACCCTTTGATTCTTCTTGGTGTTTTTTGTCTTTGAAATTTTTCTATTTGTACCTTGTAGAGAGTCAGGTTGCATCCCGATTATTTCCTCTTGTCCCAAACATTTTATCAGTACGGTCTGAAGTTTTCCCAGTTCAGAGGGGAGCCCATGCAGAGAAAATCAGGTGCCAGCATGACACTGCTCACTGTGCCTACACTAGACCCAGTTGTCCTTTTCCTGTCCTGTGCTCTTTTGTGGGCCCTGTTAATGGCCATTTCCTTGGCAGGAATTTTGGTATTTACAAATGTACACCAGTGCTTGTCAAACTATTGATAATTAATGAAGCAAGGTGATGAGTAAGAGAATTGTTTATTTGAAAATAGTCATAATAAAAAGTTTTATTTTAAAACATGTACCTTTCATTGAAGTTTTATAAGCAAAAATTTGTTCTTTATTTTTTCATATATGGTATCATATGGCCTCACTGTATATTTGTAGTCCCTCCATGTAGATTTTATTCACTTTAACCACTGTTTGAATTTTAATGCCTTTTGTAAGATGAAACCATAGTTTATTTATTCCCCTACTGATGGATAATTAGGTAGTTTCCATTTCCATTCTTTTATTATGAAAAAATGGTTTCTGCAGTAGATATTCATGTATCTCATTGGCTACATAAATGTGCAAGCATTTTGTTGGGTCCTGAAGTACAGGCGCCATTCAGTTTTACTAGGGACTACTAACTATACTTTCTAAAGTAATTATATCCATTTATATCCCAGCAATGTGTAAGTTCCCAGTTCCTCACATCCTCACCTCAACTTGATGCTATCAGCACCTACACTTAAAATTTGCCAATTTTAGAGTTTTGGGACTTCTTTTTAAATTCCATTTCTCTGGTTATTGTCTTCTTTCATGAATTCTTTGTCCATATCCTTTGCTTATTTTTCTGTTGGATTATCTTTTTGTAATTGATTTTTCAAATTTTTGGATATATTCTGGGCACAAAGTCTTTGTTGCCATATGTTACAAATGCCTTTTCTCAAGCTGAGGCATGTTCCTTGTCTTGTTTAAGGTCTTTTCCTTAAGAAGATATTTTAATTGCAATATTTTTAAATGTGTCAATTTTTTAAAGTTGATGAAAACTTTGTATCTTATTTAAGAAATCCTTCTCTAACACCATATAATGAAGATATTATCTTAATTTTTTACTAAAAAACTTTACAGTTTTGCTTTTCATGTTTAGATTTTTACTGTTTATAATTTATTTTTGTGTATGGCATACAGTATGAGAAAGGACCTAATTTTATACTTTTTTTAAGGAAAGCTTGTTTTCCCAACACTTTTCATGGACCATTCCATTCCTTACCCATTTATTTATGTCAACTATGTTATATGCCAAGTTTTCATGTACCTATGTTTCTAGGGTTTCCATTCACTTCCTTTTATTATTTTGATACATATAAACATCCATATTCAAGGTGCTGCAGAAGATACAAATCTATATTTTACATAGCCTTTGTCATTTCTGGGATAATAACTGAGTTTGAGAGTTCACCTATATACTAGTGAGTTTAATACCTTCATATGTTACATGAATGGCACAGACAGTAATGATGATAGTCATTCATTAACTTAACAAAAAATCATTGCACTAAAGATGTAGTGGAGAACAAGACAAATAGGATCTTTGCTATCATAATAATTTTCAATGTAGCTGGATGACCCAGAGGAGGACACACTGATGTGGCTGGTATGATAGGAGCAGAAAAAGTTATGGCACTGTTTTTAAAGTGTGGTCTTTTCACCACAATATTAGATATATTCATCTTGTTAAAAATCCAGTTTCCTGGGTCCCTACTCAGATCTACTAGATCTTTGGAGCTGAAGACCTAGGAGCTTGCATTTTTATCAAGAATCTCAGATGATTCTTATGAATGCTAAAGGTTAAGATCCACTTGCTTAGTGGGTAGAATAGAATGTGATCTGGATGTTTGAAGAATGATGATGAGGAAGAATGTAACTGAGTTGACTGGATACTTATCCTTGTCCCATTCAATGTATTAATCACTAAACTGAAAAAGAATACTGATAGTAAGGTAATTCTATTTTTGGATGCTAGGAGACTGGGAAGGACAAGATGTATGTTGGGAGATAGGATCCAAGATGGTGAAAGATCTTGATTCATTTTTCTAACAAACAGTGTGGAATAAGGAGGAAGTAAAATGCCAGCATTAGTTCCTAGAAACTTGGCTTAAATGAAGCACAAGTGAAAAAGAACCCTTGAGTTTTGGTGTCCTGCTGCCCTCAAATGAGTCAGCGGTGTCAGGCAGTTGCCCATTAGGTTAATCAGTTTTGGGCCGCGCTGACACAACGGTGTCCAGGCAGAGCAGCAGAGCCCGCTGCCTGTGCTCAAGCTCCCGGCAGGGACAAGAGTGCTGTCACTCTGGGGGAGAACTGTGTTCAGTTCTGGGGCTGCACCGCGAAAATGCCACGTGGTGCACATGGCAGGCAAACAGAAAGGGGAGATGCGTGGAGTTGGATTAGATTTGTTATCCATGGCTTCAAATACCACAGATGTTTGTGGGAGATCAGATAATTTTCATTTTAACATAAGAAAGAGGTTCTGTTTTTTGTTTTTATTTCTTTAGCACTAGAACAGTTCAAAGATGGATATGGGAGGAAGAGTGAGTTCTGTTTCGGAGTCTCTTTGAGCAGAGTGGCTGGATTTATGTATTAGTAGTAGGAGGTGGGTAACATCAAACATTGGGAGCATAGTGGTGAGAAAGCATAAAACATATTTGAAGGATGGCAGTTATTAGTTAGCATAGTGGATCTGGAATTTGTCTAGTGAACTTGCAGTAAAGAAGCAGGAAAGGCCTGGAATGCCAGGGTAGTGAATTTCTGTTTAATTCACCAAGCAGTGGAAACCACTAAAGGTTTTTGAGCCTTGAATATGATCAAAGAGGAATTTTAGGAGATGAGTACTTTGAAAATATATGGGATCGAACTGAGGTGGTAAAGCAAAGTTACTAATGTGAGGGTCTGAATGAGTTTCAAATTTCATGAAATCTTTGCATTTTGTGTGACTAAAATTGGAGTGACTTAAACTGGTCTGTTACCAAGTGATTGAAACTCAGGATGGTAGGGAAACTGGAGGGAGACTGATTATAAAGCTATTATAGTAGAAGATGGAAACGAAAGGCAGAAGAGAAGGTAGAGACACTGTGATAGACACCAGAACATGGTACTGTATGTCAACACCACAGTTACAGTTCTAACTCCTTCAATGGTCAGTTGCCTAATTTTGTGGAAACTAGTTAATCTCTTGGATCCACAGTTTTTTCATCTGTAAAATGACAGCAGTAATGTTCCATAGTGAGTAACAAATGATCTGCAAAGTATGTGAAAGTATTTTATGAACTGTAAAATTCAGAACACATTAGCTATTATTATGTTGGAAACATAATTCCCAAAACAGGAATCAGATTATTATTAGCAAAAGCAGGGAATCCAGGATGAGTTTATTTTACTGACTAATAGAGAAGAATAAGGGAGGAAACTGCAGAGAATCTGGGAAAGCCTGTTTGGGCAGCTTAGAGATTAGGAAAAATTAATTCAGTAGGTTCACTTTAGATTATCTGCCCCTTATTCAAGACTCCTTGTCTATCAAGTGTCTGCTGAAAGTTACAGACTTAGGGGTTCAAGGCTTAGAGTATTAAAGTAGGGAAATTACCCCAAAATTATACTTGAGGTTGAAAATTTTGATTTGACTTTCAGGTTCCCTGGAAGGTCTTTTTCTTTCTTTGTTTCTTTTTTATTATTTTAGGTATATGTTTGTTTACATGTCATTATTTCTCCCTTGCCTGGCTTCTTCTAGTTTATTGCTTCAAGTCAGCAATCACTTCATTTGTGTTTATAAACCAAGTGTCTTGTGTATTACTTGGCACATAGTAGATACTACTAAATGATTGCCGCATGATGAAGCTGTGGGTGCAGCTGCCAGATAGTGGATATATGTAAGAATGTTGGACTCTTTAGAGTTTGGTGGTATTTTAAACCTAAATCAGCAGATAACTCTTTCCATATGTCATTCTGAATTTCTTCTCATTATCTGCAAAGTATGACAGTTGATTTAAAAGCAGAGATTACGATATGCAGCATTTTGATGTGCTTTGGACATAATGCGAGACTTTTGATGTGAGTAGGGAGAAAATTGTTTTTCACATGTGTTATATATCCATGCAGCTTAGTCTGTAACCTTTACCAGGTTTCATAGATTTCCTGTTTTGAAGTGCCTAAGGAGGGTACAACTCACATCCTTATTGCAGTTAAGTTTATTAAAAGGCATAAGGACAGTTACCAGTGATTAGAACAAGCTCCAAATTTTGTTTTTCTGGGCTCAGGGACTTTGGATTAAAATAATCCTCCTTTAAACATAAAAAACTCTAAATTTTGCAAAAATAGATTTCTCTAGAATCGTAGAGACTGTAGTGCAGAAGCAATAAAATCATGTTCTAAGAGGTTTACCTTCCTTTTAGATTTCTTGATAGTCTAATTTAAGGTCTACTAGTAGGGGACCTAGATTTCATATTTTGAAATTAGCTCTCACATGCTTTTTCTTTTTGTATTTCCACTGCTTTAACAACTGGACTTATATATATACATACACATATATGTATATGTATATATACACACACACATAAATATTATATATATATATAATGGTTTCTTGCTCATTGGCCTTCTTTGTTGCCTAATTTTGCAGTGGGGGTACAGGCCAGTGCTTTTGAGCAGCCATTTTGGAACAATAAGGCATAGTTTGCTATTACTAGCAGTGTTATTTTATTATGTGGGATGACAACTTTTTATGTTTATTTAACTTGCCTTTGTAGGGCAGTCACTCTTTTATACAATCCTCATATCAGAGTAATCTGGGATGATGGTTTAGGGATAATGAGATCAGAATGTGTTAACTTCAGATCCATCATCCTATTACAGTCATTTGCACAAAGTAGTCCCTACATGATAAGGGTACTTTACTGGAAGGCTGACAAGAGTTGCAATAATCCAACTGTGATTAGTTTACAGCTTTCACATAGTGTGAGGTGTCCAAAACAGTCTTTGATGCCAGCATAACAAAGATAACTGAGGTAGTTGGCCAATCACCATTTTAAAGCCCTTATTTTTCACATTTTCCCTAGTGTTAATGCAATACAGATTTTGGAATGAAATATCCCATTGGCAGTTTGAAGGGGAAACTTGGGTAAATTAAGTTTTGTGTAGTTGCCCTATCAATTTACAATATAAATAGCTTACTTATGCTACTTTCTATTCTAAGTCACAACTACAAGTACCATGAAATAACCATCTCTTTATGGTGGTGCAGCAATATAATTGAGAGATGAATTCCTGAATATTTAATTCCTTTTACTTTATTCTGATAAAAAGGACCATTTTGGAGGAAAGAATGTACCCCAAACAAGGATTCTCTTATTTTTGTAAATCTACTGCAAATTTGATTAGATTAAGAATATAGCCTTACTTGATTTATCATTTTGACTTTTTTGCCTGGAAATGCCATAGCAGCTGCAAAATGTCAGAAACTGTTATTCTGAAAATCAAGTGTCTAATTAGAAAGATGAGCCACAGAGGTAATGGGACTTACTTTTTAAGAACAGTGTGTCAGATGCTTAACATGTTTCATCATGACCTAGTATATGGTAGAGTTCTTAAGAACATGATCTTTGGTGATATACCTATATCATCAGTCATGCTAAAACCATTTCCTGAATTCTGTCTCTCTCTATATATACGTATATAAGACAATGCAGAGTTCTGCAGAGGTCACCTGGAACCATTTACAAAAGCGACTTCAGTCAACTATTTTTTGAATTTCATCCAGACAACAGAAAAAAAACAGATTCTAGTAGTAGCAGATGTGCACAGGCTGATGTAAAATAACTTTCTGAAGAGATGAATCTATGTAGAGAACACACATAAAGAATGTGACCTGCAACTGAATTAATTCTTCTATTTTTAAAACTGGTAATTTTTTGTTGTTTTTTAAACTCTAAAATCTCAGAAATTGGGATGTTGGGTTTTACTGAACTGCTCTGTCTCAGATCCTCTCTTGCTCAAGCTTGTCTGGGAATTTCATTCAATTTTCAATTGCGGGGGAGTTGAAGGCATTTCAGCAAAACAAACAACTGAATGGTGTGTCAGCTAGAACTTGAAATGTTTGTTTTAGGAGCATTTTTTAACATAATAAAGTAGTTGAAATAAACAAAGCTCAACTAGAAAGATATTAAAATACCTTGAAGAAGAGGTTTCTTTGATATATTTTCTTGAGAAGCCTAGAACCATATAAATGCTTTTAAAGTTCAGTCATATTGGAAACCTCAGCCACATTGTTCTGCCTGAAGTATGTAATTACACCCGTAAGGAGAGGTGACACTAGAAGACATACATCTGGTTAGTAAACTTATCCAGTCTTCTGTCAGATGCCCTTCAAATTCCAAGCATAAATGTAATAATAATAACTAGAGTGAAAGGAATGTGGGAGTCATTGCTTAGGTTTAGCCTGTCCATGTCCTTAAATCAGGACAACTTTAAAAGTATAGGTACTCCTTTTGGGTTCCTGGACCCAATTCGTGTGTGTGTGTGTGTGTGTGTGTTCTTCCCATGGACTTTACCAAGCGAACACCAGCAGGGTGTGTGTGTGTGTGTGTGTGTGTGGGTGGGTGGGTGTGTGTTCTTCCCATGGACTTTACCAAGCGAACACCAGCAGGGTGTCCAAGCCTGGAGACAGCAGCACATTCCCTAAGGAAAGGGCTCCGTCCTGCAAGACTGCACTCCACCCACGACTTTAGATGCCAGACCTCCTCTTGGGCTTAGTGTGCCATAGCATCTCACAGAGATCAGGAAAACATTTGTTTACCAGTTTAACAGAGGATACCATAAAGGATGCAAGTTTAATAGCAGATGAAGAGTATATTGGGATACTACTAGTGAATAGAGGCTAGGATGCTTCTAAACATCCTATGACACACAGAACAGTTCCTTTACAACAAAGAATTCCTGGCCCCAGATGTCAGTAGTGCTGAGGTTCAGAAAAACTCTGCTCTGGGCAAATGTATCAGAATCAGGGTATAAATGTTGGTTAAAAAACAGGCTGAGAACTATGAATCTAGTAAACCATAATATTCTATTGAGTAATTTATGAAAAACATACACATTAAAAATACACATTCATTTACTCATAAATCAACAGACATGCTGCAGTCCTCCTTAACGGAGTACCACTACTCCAAGTATTTAAGATTCATCAGTGAAGATAAAAGACCCTGCCCTTGAATACCTTTTGTTTAAGTAGGGGAAACAGAACAATTAAACATAATAAATAATAAATTAGATAGTGTTTGAAAGCAGTGTAAAAAAATATATGGCAGATTAAGGACACTGGAGCACTGGGAGAGGGGAGGACAAAGGGTGGGTTGCAATGTTAAATGAGTGCATCAAAATCTCACTAAGGTGACATCTGAACAGATTTAAAAGAAATGAGGGAATATAATGAATATATATTGCCCTGAAAATGCAGTTTTGGCTTGCCTTCCGTTCACAGGAAAGGGGAGTAGATTGTGCTAAGTGCTTAGAGGGATGCAAAGTTAGGTCAGATATAGTTCTCCTCTCATGGAACTTCATGATGAACTAAGTTATCTTGGAAATGGTAGAAAAACAAAGGCATCCAACGCAGGACATTAATTTTGACCTATATTGTTTGCTCCTATTTTGATACCTTTTCGCGGTGGGGAGAGAACAGGTTAATGATCAGCCCTTATTTCTCACTCACCTTCGGCAGCCGCTGCTTCTCAGGAAGGTTAGGTGGTGGCCTGGGCTAAACGGTGAGAGGAGGGGGAGTGTTGGCACTGGGTCTTGAGTACAGGCCCAACAGCAGTGGGGTCAAAGAAACGGAAAGAAGTGTGACTTAGAAAAGGGGCTAATGATTCAGAAGAAAGGCATCCAGCATCTCTATTAAACTTCCTTGCTGACAACCACCAGTTTTCAGCAACGACCAAGCATTTACAGCAAGCCTTCTTCGCTCTCTGCCTCTCAGGTATGGGAACAGCACTAGGAGCTATGCCATTCGAGTTGGGGATTATCATACTCTGGTGCCAGAGGAATTTGAAGAAGAACTTGGAGTTGAACAGATCGTTATTCACCAGGATTATCGACCTGACATCAGTGACTATGATATCGCCCTGGTTAGGTTACAGGGACCAGAAGAGCAATGTGCCAGGTTCAGCAGTCATGTTTTGCCAGCCTGTTTGCCATTCCGGAGAGAAAAGCCTCAGAGAACAGCGTCCAACTGTTACATAACGGGATGGGGAGATACAGGTAAATGGTGCAGAGGAACAAATGAGATCTGGACATCTTGTATCTGGGGTTATCTATGCATTTGGCGGACAATGGGCAGTAAAATCCTAAAAGGTTCAGGCTTAGTTATTTGGAAATTCTGACGAGTGAGATGCACGCATATAACTTGGATTCATGTCCTGAGGTTACACGTTGGTCCCCATTGCCAGCTTTAACACAAACCCAATAAAACTCTATTGCCAGTGGGGCTTAAGGGATAAATCCTGGACTTTTAGTTCCCCAGACTACTGAGGACACAGATTTTAAGAGCCTACCCCAAGGCGTGGGCCTCACTGTCTAGATTTTAAAACTTTCTTTCCCAGATGATTTGATTTAGCCACCCCAGACTTTGCTGTTTCTTTGTAATAGAGCTCTTTATCAAACAGAATCTCAGGGAGAATTCTTAAATATGGAACAGACAAAAGCAGAGCTGCTGAATTTGAGGGACCAAATCCAGTTTTTTCTCTTTATTCCCTCTCCTTTCCCATTCTTCCCACCTCCCAATCCCCAAGCAAAAGTATATTTATCTCAGGCAACTGCTTTCTGTGTTGTATTGTCTTGCTATAGAGTTAAATCCATGTGTATCAGCTAGTGCTTGCTCACAACAATCCACGAAACATCAAATCTAGGTCCCACAAATGATTCCTGAATACAGAGAAATAATTGGCTGATTGTGTGCCATTAAAATGACTACCACTGATAACTATTCTTAAAAGAGCACTAAGTATTTCTACAGGTGATAATTTCAATAAGGTGTTATTAATAAAAATATTTCATTGTTCATTTTATCCCATGCTACATTAAATCTGGATTTTAGATTTGTTACATTTCATAGCAGTAGTGTAGAACATCTGTAGCAGATACAGAATACTGAAAAAGCACTGGGACCAATCCTGAGATACACTAAACATTTCCTTGGTGATACAGTAAAAGCCAAAGTTACTGCCTCCTCAGTACACTTCTCTTGTGCTGATGCATGAGGGAAATCTAATCTTGGAGGTCAAAGTATACTTAGAATTACAGTTACTTCATCAGGGAGGGTTCAGTCACCTTCCTTTTCACACATCTGAACAGAAATGACTAAGGAAGTAAATTTTACAGAATGTTTTATTATGGTGAATTATTCCAGTTGAGTAAATAGGGTCAGAGAAAAATGGTGGAATTTAGGTGTAAGAAAAACCTATTATGGAGGACATATCAATTAGACATTTTAGCCACTAAAAAGAAACGAGTGGTTTACTAGTAGAGTACTAACGTCAAGTGGTTCAGTTTAAGCCTGTATATAGGAATGTTTTGTTCTGAATCATTTTTATGAAATGCCACTTTTCTGTTTAGCATAGTTATTGCCACCTTTTGTGCCTATGTAATTGTCACTTGTAATTAATCCTCAAAAGTAAATGAAGTAGATAAATCTTTAGAGGAATGGATATGCTAATACAAAATCAGCATGAATACATCCCCAGCTTTTTAACATATGGAATTCAAATACTAAAGCCTGCACCAATGTGCCTTCTTTAGGTTACCTTTTTCTGTAGCCTAATCCCTAAATGTTACATCATTCCTCAAAAAATTCAGTACTGACAGATTAGTGATAGGTAAAATACTAAGCGCAAACATTTACAAAAGCAGCTAATGACACTGTTGTAGTCCCTCATTTAAACACTAATGCCACAATAGTTTTTATTTTCAAGACTTAAATGTTCATTAAATTGTCAAAGCTTTTTTGATAGGATTTTAGCTGGAATCTAATTCGTTTTATTTGGTCTGAGTAGGACGAGCCTTTTCAAGAACCCTACAACAAGCAGCCATACCTTTACTTCCCAAGAGGTTCTGTGAAGAACGTTATAAGGGTCGGTTTACAGGAAGGATGCTCTGTGCTGGAAATCTCCATGAACACAAACGTGTGGACAGCTGCCAAGGAGACAGCGGAGGACCCCTCATGTGTGTTCGGCCAGGAGAGAGCTGGGTTGTATATGGGGTGACCTCCTGGGGGTATGGCTGTGGAGTCAAGAACTCACCTGGTGTTTATACTAAAGTCTCTGCTTTCGTACCTTGGATAAAAAGTGTCACCAAATTGTAATTCATGGACACCTAAAGGAAAACTATGTAAAGATTCTGGTGGAAAAATTTCAACCTCCACACTAGCACTTAAGCAGAGATGCTAACTGATGGGGACTGAGACCCATGTTTCATGTTGTGATAAAAATTGTGTACGCCTTTGCTGCTTGAGAAATTTGTGATGTGAACAATTTTGGTTAGATACTTGGTGTAGTACTTTTTATCCTTAATTAGCATTGCTGCTTTCCCAGATTGGTGTCCTGAGACTTAAATTCCTTATTCCCATTTGAGCCTTAACTTAGCTCTTCTGCCTATTTGTCAGCATTCTCCAGTGATTTTTTTATATTGCTTGTGCAATAAGGCTGTTTTTACACTTGGATTGAGAATGCCATAACTCAATCAGTATATGAATTCATATTAAATGCCCACTTGACATAAAATACTCATTACTACACTCAAAATAAGAGCAGCATTGTGTAATTTCTAAGATTTTTTTCAGAAGGCTGACAAGACATCTTCACAGTCTCTATAGCCTTTGTTAAGTGAGGAACTCAGGGCCAAAAAAGAAAAGGAATTCCATTATAAACCTAGGCTGGTTTAATAGTCACAGTACATTCCCTAAATGAAGCTGTTGTAGCCAAGCACAATGGCAACAATGACAAAGAACACCTTTTAGTTTACCTTGTATGCCACTAGAAAAGTTTGGAGTAATTCCTGATATAGTAATGCCTTCAAGTTGCTGGATGTACAACCTCATTTTCTACCTTACTTGTTAATATTATCTGCTTTGATTATTTAATAACCACTTCAGATATTTAAGTTGGTAGACTCTTCTTAGCATCGTGCTCCTTTTCTGGGCCAGGATGTTAAAAGAGTGCCATGTACTGCAACTCTCTGGTAACTAACATGAACCTGTTGATTTCCTGACTATCCCCATACAGTCGTATCTTACAAAAATGCACTATTAAAAATTCTTCCCCCAACTATACAGTGGGAAGGAAAATGCTCTAAAATAACCTGTTTCAACCAATTTGATTCATACACCAGTTTGTATATCCAAGTGATAGATGAATCAAGAGGTAAAGAGGTCAGTGTGAACTTAACGGTAGCAATCCTTGTAAATAGCTAAGTCATCACGGAGGGACTTTACCCCTTTCCCTTCTGCATCAAATTCTTTTTTAAATCCTCAGCTTTCTTAAAAACTGGTGCTAACCTAAAGGTGTTTCGAAGTTTACTACCCTGCATAACTGCAATGCTGTGTCAGGCAGAAAGCATTAAAACTTTTCTAAAAACTCATGATTTTGATAAAGGAGAAACTTTTCAAGCATTTACATCTATAGGATACAGCTACAGACAGTGCACATTTGTTCAAAGGTGTGGGAAAAAAGTGCAATAAAGCCAAGAAAACCTATCTTTACTGAAACTTTCTCACAGGCCACCATTACAATTAGTGTGAATGAAAGCAACATAGATATTTAAATTTTAACTAGACCTGATAATGGGAAACTTAAAGGACAGTAATAGGTGGCCTTAAACCTCTGAGGATAGGGTTCATGAAATAGCGTTTATGATAGCTAACTTTGTTAATATGTGATTTTTTAAAGGTAACAAGTGTTCAGTGCACATTTGCGTAAATAAAGTGCATAGCTGTTCACTTATATAGCTGCCTTGATCTTTGACTCTGTTCTCTCCCCATCAGGGGTAACCTGGTTTTTATGTTACCAGTTTTCCCCCAAAATGCTGTACTGTCTTGCAGTACTCATTCACACTACCTCCACAAGAGCTCCTCACAGAATAAGAGGTAGTCTATTATTTGTAAATACTTTCCATGTATTATTAATCATTCAGTCAGGGAACACTGAGATGAAAAATCATTTTATTTAATTATAATTATAAAGCATTAATTTTTTCCTTAAATGCCATACGTATGAAAAATAACATTCAGGCCTATACTAAAAATACTGCCCCGGGTGCTTCCAGACTTCATTCGCCACTGAATCCCCAAGCTGCTGAGATTTAGTATCACGTTTGGCAGTGCACTGCAAGCTGCTTAACACACTTCATCCCTATTACTTTGGATTTCTTGGTACCTGCAATAGAAGAAAACCAGCTTTATAAAACTCTGTGTACTTACTAACCTTACTGTGCTCAGATTTTAGCCATTTCTGTGACTTTCTACTCAGCTGGCTACTCTTTAAAAAATGGGGCGACTTTGACTTTCCAATTTTTTAGCACCTAGTTTTTCAGATAAACTCGGGAATACGACATAAAGAAACGTACCTTGTATCTTCCATCACCTATAGGAAGAATTAGTTCAGCCTCCTGAAAACATTTGAAGAACAGTTTTCCCAATAACCCAGCACCCTCCAGGTTTTTAAACTAAATGTTACTTGTGCAAGTCAGAATCTGATACCAATTGAATGGTGACAGCTTTGCCAATAAACAAGAACATACTCTTCCATGGCTAGGAAGGGAGACTGCCACAGCTGACAGGTCCCAAAGACACATGGAGATCCACAATCTCAGAACTGATCAGCAAGCACAATTCCAGACAGCACTCACCCACAGGGTCCACTGTGGCGCGTATCAGCGTGCGGCGTTACTATTTAAATAGCACCGGAGTAGACTCCAGACTGCCGCACGGTATCGACAGCGTTAACTAACGACCTTCACCGAAGTCAGGGTGCCCGGAACTCTTGCCGACTGCCAGCTGTCCACGGGCGACCCCTCTCGGTCTCAGCGCCCAGGGCTGCACGTGGCGACCGTGCGACTTAATGAACGTCTAAGTTCCTTCAGGCCTTGAACCTGGAGGTTTTCAATGCTGGCTTCGATCTACCACTATTACACTCTTCCCTGCATCTTAAGTAAGTCAAAAAGTTCTGTCCCAATTACTTCAAAATACAAAATTCCACCGGGCCCTCCCACCGATAGGCGACGCTTCCGAATGAGAGGCCGCGGCGGTCTGCGCACGCTCTCTTATACAGCTGATGACGCCATTCCGGGCTGCTCTGCGACGGGCGGTGCCTACGCCTGTTTCGCCCTCTGCCCCGCCCCAGTCTCGACCCGCCCCTTCCTTGGTGGCCCCTCCCTCATCTCCTCTTTGGAACTTCTCCAGCCCATCCTTTAGGTCTGGGCCGCTCTATTGCCCAAGACTGCGACGCATGTGCATACTGGGTGTCCAGAAGTTCTCGCGGGACCGGGGAACTGATGCTATCGCTCGCCGCTTTGAAGGTGAAGAGACGGCACTTAACCCTGTTTTCTTCAGGGTAGTTATTTTAGACAAGTACCGTATGATTTCGCTTACATGTAGAATCTAAAAAACAAAACAAACAAACTAACAAACAAAATTGAAATCGATTCATAAACACAAGAGAACAGACTGGTGGTTACCGCAGGGGAGGGGCGGTGGGGGAAATGGGTGAAACAGGTGAAGGGAAAAAAACTCACTGTTGTTACTGACGCCAAGTTCGAAGTTCTCCGCTTAACCGTACTAATTTATATGGAACTAGCTGATTTTTTGTCTCTTTGTTAGTACTTCTCTCCTCCCCTGGAATTGCTGTTCCTGAAGCGCAAGTGTCAATGGTCTGCAGTTTTTTTTTTCCAGGGGGTCTGATCTCTTAGTACTATTTGCACTCTTTACCGAAAGCCACCAAATGGTTTTGTAAACATAAGATTAAGAAAAGGAAAGGTTGTTAGACCAGGCGAGCTACAGGACACCGGGTGTGTCTGTGAACATTTCCCCAGTTGCAGTTGGATCCTCCGTTGTCTTCATCTCGCCACATCATCTCGCTCCGTTTTAAAAGCGGACGTCTGGGTCTTGACTCTGCTGTAGTTTCTTTTGAGGGTTCAGTTCAAGAAATGGTAGAGTTACTGTTTGTAAAGTGGAATTACAACCGTTCAGGAATACTTTTAAAATGGCACTAAGTTTATTTTCTATTTTCCCTTTTCATTTTCCTCCGATATGAAACAAAAAGAAGGATTCAGGTGAAGCTTTTACTTAGTAGTAGACCATTTCAGGCAGTATGGTGCACAGTAGCTGTCAGGGAAAACGGTATCAAGAGATCTGGTGAGTAAAGCAGTACTGTAGATACACAAAGAAGCTTCATAAAAATCATTACATACTCTTGTGGGGTAAAGAATTAAGTAAGAGCAATCATTGCCGTTATGGTTAGGGTTGGAATGAACAAGTTTATAGGGAATAAATTTTAATTGGAAAGAACTAAAGCTGTTTCTAAGGCTCATCTTATTTCACACTGTCTTATTTTCTCTTGCTTCACCTACGTCTACTCATTTCATCTCACTAGTGAGTAGGAAGAACTGTTCAATAGCAAGGCATAAATACTAAATCACAGTGGGGAGTTTTGCCCAATTCGATTTTATTTAGAATCTCTATCCATTTGTACTTTTCTGCTATGGCTGTCTTCACAGAATACCACACCGGCGGGGTAAATTAAAAACAGAGACTTATTTTCTCACTATTCTAGAGACCAGAAGTCTGAGATCAATGTCCACAGGCTTTTTCTGAGACCTCCTTGGTTTGTAGATGGCCTTCTTTTCCCTGTAGCTTCACATAGTCTTTCCTCTGTACTATCAACAACCTAATCTCTATTTATAAGGACATCAGCCAAATTGGATTAGGGCCTGTCCTAATGAACTCATTTAATCTTAATTACCTCTTTTAAGACCCTGTTTCCACAGTCATATTCTGAGGTCCTGGGGGTTAGGACTTTACCATCAGTTTTCAGGGACCACAATCCATCCCATAACACTGTCCACTTTTGCTAAGCTCTAAAGATTTACTGAAGATTTTTAGATGAATGTTTTGTTTGGGTTAAGGGCTAAAACACTGTTGAATGAGAGAGAGAGTCCCTATGTTTTCTCCATCTTGAACATGTTTTCCCATTTATATATTTTTTCTTTTTTTTAAAAATTGAAGTGTATTTGACATATTAGTTTTCAGAATTGTTTGTTCTATTTCTGTGAAAAATTCCTTTGGAATTTTGAGAGTGATTGCATTGAATCTGTAGATTTCTTTGGATAGTATGGACATTTTAACAATATTCTTCCAATCCATGAGCACGGGATATCTTCACGTCTATTTGTGTGTTCTTCACTTTTTTTCATCAGTGTCATAGTTTTCACTTTACAGTTTTTTCACCTCCTTGGCTCAATTCATTCCTAAGCATTTTTTCTTTTCAATGCAATTGTAAATGGAATATTTTTCTTAATTTTCATTCTGATTGTTTGTTATTAGAGTATATAAATGCAATAACATTTTGTATGTTGATTTTGTATCCTGTGACTGGAATTTTGGAGTCTTTGGGTTTGCTATATATATAGTATGTCATCTGAAATAGTGACAGTTTTACTTCTTTCTTTCCAATTTGGGTGGCGTTTATCTATTTTTCTTGCCTAATTGCTGTGGCTAGGACTTCCAGTACTGTACTGAGTAAAAGTGGGGACAGTGGGCATCCTTGTCTTACTGTTGATCTTAGAGGAAAAGCCTTTGGCTTTCCATCATCAAGTTTAATGTTAGCTATAGGCTTGTCATATGTAATCTTTGCTATGCTGAGGTCCATTCCCTCTGTACCCATTTTGCTGAGTTTTTAAAATCATAAATGGATGGTATTCACCATCTATTTTTATCTGTCAAAATTCTACTTACTTTTGAATGCTTTGTTCATTATTACTTGTTCATTCAAATTTCATTGCTCCAACTGAAATTTTTTTCCTTTTTTGACACACTAGAGTACTTGCATTTTTCTTGTGGTGTCTTTATTATGTTAAAAATGCCTTGTGGTGAAGGACTGTTTCTCTTATTTGAAGTGCCTAGCAGAGTGACTCATATTAAATGAACACTCAGTTGCATTATTGAATACATTGAGGTACTTGGTATATATTTTAGGAATTAAGAAACTTAGATATTTATTTTAAAAAGTCATTTCTCTCCAGGAATAGTTTAATACCCCTTCCCTACCCCAACAGCAACTTGAGTGTGGGCAGTGTTCAGTGACACTTTCAGAGAATAGGCTAAGGTATAATTTTACAGTGGAAAAATCTAGCAAACACTGCGGAAGCTAGGTGACTAATGTTAACATCAGTAATAAGACATGTAGATGTATACTCTGATAAGATGTGATGAGAAGAAGATTTCACCTTTCTCTGTGTTATATTCTGTAAGGCCCTAACCCCAGTCTATCCGTGAGAAAAACATCAGACAAAATCAAATTGATGGACATTCTACATTATTACCTGATCAGTACTGAAAATTATGGTCATGAAAAACAAACGTTTGTGAAACTGTCACACCAGAGGAGATGATGCACTGTGACTAAATATAATGTGCCATCCTAGCTGAGATCCTCAAGCATGAAAAGGGCCTTAATGAAAGACTAGTGAAATCTGAATAAAGTGTGAAATTTAGTTGATGAAAAATGTCCCAGTTTTGGTGTCCTAGTTGTGACAACTGTACATGGTATTGTAAGATGTTAACAAGAGGGGAAATTGGGTGAGGGCTGTGTGGGCACTTCCTGTATCATTTTTGTGATCTTTCTGTAAATCTAAAATATTTTAAATGAAAACTAAATAAAGCAACCAACATTCTTGAAGAGCATTCTTTAACTACGTTACTTAT